ATCCGAAACGTCAGGAAAATAAAGTCCTTGTTCCAGTAATCGCATCTTCTTCGGAATGGCAATGCAACAGCAGATAAGGAAGCAGTTCCAGGTTATTCCTACAGGTGGTGCAGTTAATCATGATGCCCGAGAACACGTTCCTTTTGAAATTTTGTCCTCACCAACGTAACGCATTTTTACCAACTCCGATTTTGCAAGAGCTTTCTTTGGACGATGTTTTTTTTTCGGCCAGGGTAATCTCTTCGGGGTTTGGTTTTGTAGAACTATCCCGCTTAAATTGTATCTCATAAATTGTATTTTCACCTGGAATCATATCTATCGGGGAAAATGGTGAAATCACAGAGCTTATACATACAAAAATTTATCCATCGTTTTAATGTGTACTGTACTTCTTTCAAGAATCCTATGGCGGCCAAAGGAATAACTGCTTTTGTAGATGACCTCAACACCGACTGCTACGCATGAAATACCAGAATGAACTCTCTTACATTTACTACCTTTTATACAGGCTGTTCTTGGTTATTACGACTTCGTGACTGTTGCTCAACACCGAACAATCCTCTCCATGATTGCTAACTGTTTCTCGGATCTGCGCAAGGAGGACTTCGAGGTGGTTCTGAACTGTTTACCCAACCTCTGTGAACGCCTTCAGGATTCGGAGCCACGCTGCGTAGAGCGTGTTTGCCTTTGTTTTGCTCGTCTCATCGAGGCCTACCGAAATGACCCTGATAAACTGAAGTCAATTGTCTCATTCGGGCTGTTTGAAAACCTTAAGCGATTGGTAAGTTGGTCGTTGTCCCGGGTTCTGTACCTGCTGAACTGGTTTTTGTTCTTGTTCCCTGTCTTTTTGACTGTTTTTTAAACACCGCCACTTGTAAGTGTTACCGTAGATTACGGGTATTAATAACTTTGGGGGTATTTTTGCCGTAGTCTCATCCACATTCATCGTCATTCTTTAACTTCGAATGAAATAGGGTCCGGAGATACATTACTTTTCTGCCGTTTCAATTACCTGCGGAGAGAGTGGGAAATCTACCCATACAAATACATCCACATAATTGGTTCGCTCCGTGGGTGTATGCTTGCGCGCCCGGCTCTCGATGTTCTTAAAAGTGGTCGTCATCATTTTTTTCTTACATGCACATGTGCACGTGATTATGTGAACAAACTATCGGACGTCTCCCTGCTCCTGACCTAGGCGTGATAATGTCGGCCTTCCTCCCCCTCATCTTGCTTCTGTCCGACTAGTGATAGTAGATCTTCACTGCATCTGCCGCACTCTCCTCCCTCTCTCACCTGGGCTCGGTGTCAGGATCGAGTCAAGAAGACTGGAGGCCAAAGGGGACGCAGATCATTGGCGCGACGGCAACCCACACCTAGGCAGCCCCCCAAGTGCGCTATTGGTTATGGGTACGCATACCCAATAACGCCTGCCGTGCTATGATCTGGCCTCCGTGTTGGTCCAGTGAATCTATCACGTGGCCTGTTTAGGGAGCACAAACCAACCACCCCCCTCCCAACTGGACAGGTCTGATAGTTGTACTTGGGTTGATAACTTAGGCGAGTTAATTGGCGAGGACAGAATCCACTTGTAAGTAACACTCGGACTGTGGTGTCTCTTTTTCCTATAAGATTAACATTATCGATCATTTGAGCCGCCGTTATTGGTAAAATTCGTTATAGTTGCGTATATATCACTTTCCTTCTTTTCCACGCTCCCAAAAGACCCTCGAAAGGACTCCAAGTTTAACTCAAAACGTTGCGTTTGACGACCTGTCTGGACTTGAAACATTATCAAATTAAGCATTACCAACAAAGACAAGGGGGACAAAAATAGCTATTTCTGGCTTCTTAACCGTTATCCACCAGCCATATCCAATCCTGAGCATTTCTATTCCTGAGGCTCGAACCCGCGAGCTGTCGGTTAGAGGTTGATGTACCTAACCATTGAGCCATTGTGATGAGGGCTTGCATAGTAAACTCAAAGGCACAATGGGATGAGTATATCGCGTAAGGCGATATGTGTACGTCCCAGTAACACTATTCTCCAATTTCTTCGAGTTCTCACTGTGTCTTTAAAGTCCTGTTCATCCCACATGACATTTATACTTGATCAGCCTTAAGGTAAGTTATTGTATGCAAAGCACTTTTCCTATGCGTGTTTCTGCGTGGAGAATATCGGCCGAAATCAAACAGGAGGGTCCACATTACTAATGTGTATCTGAGGAAACCAGGATTGGTGTCCAATAGTCTTTTTCATGGCGAATTTTCTCGAAAGCTGTCGACGCAGGTAATCTTTACTAGCCTCACTTTGTTGTTTGTGCATTCTCCTTGTTCATTTAGACGGAATTATCCTGTTATATAGGGGATTATAAGCGAACCACTTTAACGAAACGACTCCTACGGTTTAGGAAGCCATTCCTTGATTTTGCAATCAGTCACCTTTCTGCACTGCTGAAACTGGCGTCAACTTAAACTGTATTGTAATTTTGTGTGATTTTTATGGAGAAAAAACGGCACCTTGTAGACATCGAAAACACGTGACCTCTAGACGCAGGTTGCTACAGGAAGTTGTCGATCAGAGAAAAAATGAGGCATTTTACAGTTGCAATTGCTTTATCTTGCACTCAGATCTGGACCTTGGGCAAACAACTTGTACGCTGCGCATTTCGGTCTCACAGGATAATACCGTGTGCTAGGCTGACTTGGCCACTCATTTGACATGCAGGGTTTTATTCAACCCAAGCCAATATCCGCTCTGAGTGCGTGCAATGGGTACTGCCATTGTTATCTTACTGGCATCTGGGTATTTCCCGTCCGGGTGGCAGAAGCAACCTTAAGGATATGCGGCAGAGTTAGGGTCGACCTTGGGCCTCAAACTGTTAATTGTACCCTTAACCTGATCATAAATCCTTTAATAGCCTTTAACTATAGTCAAACCAGCAGAGCTGCCACAAAATAAAATCCGAGAAGAATTTTAGACGCGTTTCGGCCCCCAGCAAATTCTCAACCACACTCCCACTGGCTTTGCATAGGATCGTCCCTGAGATTTCAATCGCGTCCGCCGTTTTCGTTAGGACCATCCCATGGCCCAAATTCCTGTTTAGAAGCAAACTCGGTCGTGCGAACAAGAATTTTATTCGCCTGGCGTTTCTGTCTACTTTGAAAGCCTCCATAAAAGTTGTTCCTCAGAGTGCTGCTGGCGAAACCATGTTTATATATGCGTAGCTTTTAACCTGCGGGTTCAGTGAGTCATTTTTGGGGTCTTCTTCCATCGCTCTTTTTTTACCATGCTGCAAGCTTGTAGAATCCTGCATAATTTATGGTTCGCGAGCACGCCTTATTAGATACATTCTAGCCGGCCGAGTCTTCAGATCAATCCTCCTCCTCCCTGCTGCAAAAAATGTTTCATTTTAAGCAACACAAATGTCTGTTAACTGTGCCAATCCCCTCACCAGCACTACCCCCTTCCCTCCTTGCCACATTCAGATATCCGCTTCGCCCCCCGTTGTCTCAAACGTGAAAGACATTGCGAACATGCTGGCAACCATCTGTTCCAGCTGTCCTGACTTGGCTGTAAAGCTTCTACAACTGGGTATGTTTTCTTCGTTTTTTCA